TAGATATGCGTAGCCGTCTAGTCATCTCTGTAGAAAGATATCATCTTCCAACACAGCTCCTCCTAGAAGCAACCGATGGGTAAGGGGTAGCGTTCGCGCTCTCGAACCCAAAGGTTGAGGGTTCTAATCCCAGCACTGGTGACAGATTCGAACGTCCAAAGATAACCAAGGAGAACACAGAGCCATGAGAGAGTAGTCAGTTCGCTCGCGAGTTACATTCTTTAAATTTTGTCGTAAAATACTTGTCAGTAGATATTCAACATCGACAAAAAGACGTCTAATAGATGTTGTAAATGTGGACAATCGATCAATTATAGACGTCTAGTGGTAGACACGATTAAACGTCTAATAGACCCTTGGGGGTCTAGAGAAAGATGCATATTAGACGTCTAATAGACGTCTTTTTTCCGTGTGGGTAGGAAAATAATTGTTCAGGAAAAATAACTTTGCTGTGCGAAGGGCTTATATACTTTTGTGCATTTATTTATGCCCCGGTCTTGTGGTCGAGCGCGGCGACACGCTGCCATACCACTGTCGCGGCCATCATTTTAAAATAATGATAAGCAGCGTAATGATATTTCCCCCTCCGAGGGCTTTGCGCGGCAGATATGCTATCCTGGCGCGGGTCCAGCCGCGGGGCTAAGCAGCGAACGACTATACTGCGCTCCTCGTCGCACCCGCGCAGCTATAGGCCGCAGAGCCAAGATAGAAGATGCTGCTACGCGCACAAAAAGATAAAATGCAAAAAAATTGCCTCCGTGAAGGTGGCTGTGGTCGTCCGTCGCACCGTAATACGCGCGCGTGAGAGTGCTATGGACACGGGTGCGAGGGGCACACACACACACCTGCGGGTGCACCAGGTGCACCTGCCATCCCCGCACAGCAGCAGCTCTGCCAGCAGGCAGCGCGCCAGCAGCGCTTCTCTCTGGGCGGCGGGACAGTCACCCGCAGAAAGGCCTGCTGCTGCCCGTGCGCGCTGCTCTGTTTACCAACAACCACCGGGCGGGCAGCCGCCAGCGCACCGCGGAGGAGAAAACACCGCGACAAAAAAAAAGCACCAACACACCCGCGCCGCGCTCGCGCTCGGGCGGGGCCACCCAGCTTACCTGATCACAGATGATGTCCCACTTCTTCTCGTCGTCGTACTGCTTGAGCAGCTTGGCCTTGTCCGGCGGGAGGTCCATCGAGGCCTGTAAACAGAGACAAGAACACCAGGTCAAAACCTTTAAAATATGTGTCTTTGGAAAGGCGCCGCCGCTGCTGCGCCTTGCGGCTGCAGC